GAAATCGATTAAGCGGTGACTGTCTGTCCGTCCGGCGGTCCATCTGTGCACACGATAACCCGGGTAAAAATTGAGATATCTTAACGAAACTTTGTACGTGCACTTCTTCCGGGCGTAGGACGGATGGTATTGAAAATGGGCAAAATCGGACAATAACCACGCCTACCTCCCATATAACGCTAATTTGGAGAAATACGAAATCTTCGATAAATCAGAAAATATTAAAGCTAATTTATTCAAAATTTATGCTTGCAACAATCCTTTGCCAAGAAATACATTTATGATAAAATTTTGGAAAACGGGCGTGGCACCGGTCTACCAATTTGTACCAAACTCAGTATGGCTATTGTGCTTGCCAAATAAAACCAAAACTTTGAAAATTATTGAAATCAGACTAAAATTGAGGCCGCTTTTCATATAACGGTAAATTTCAGAAATGCTTGAAACTTCAATATTTTGAAATTTAAGGACTCTAAATTACTCAAAATTGATACACCCCGGCCTGCCATGTTGCGGTAGCTTTCGGAAAGGTGAAAATCATATATTTAATATTTGCGCCGGGTATTTAATGTTCGGCTCCGCCCGAACTTAGACTTTATTACTTGTTTGTTTTTCGAACCGTTGAACCGAACCGAAACTCCGGTTCAAAGACCAAAAAACCCGCTTTGACGAACCAATCCAAAAGTGCAAAAACGGTTTGAACCGCGGAACCGAACCGACAAAATTTTTCATCCGGTTCACGTCCCTGGTTTAAAGTACAAAATCGCATATCGTCATACTGCAAAACCGCGTAACTGACATTGGCTGCCAAAAATTGGATTTGCTCATGCAAGCTCTTGACTTAAGCCTTATCCATTCGTCATGAAATATACTAGCCAGAAGTGCGATTGCTTTATAAAAAAAGAGAACCATTTTTAAATATGAGTGTTTTTACTCCCTAAAAAATAATTTATGCTACCTCACATACGCGGTTTTGCATTATCTTGATACGCGGTTTTGCATTTTGTTGATACGCGGTTTTGTACTTTAAACGACGATATGTATGTGTATATGTGTGTATCTATATGCATGTACTTATATAAGTGCGTAGTTTTTTACTGAACAGTAGCGCAGAATGAGCAAAAATTTTGCAGCAATAATCAAATAATAGCTAAGCGTTGGTTTTACTACGACCTTGTAAAGACGAAAAAAATTTACTTGTGAGCATTTAGTCTGTAGTCAGAGTTGGGCACAATTTATTCGAATGACGAATAACAAATGAATAAATTGCTCTTCTCGTTATTCGGAAATAATAAATAACTTTGTTTATTCCATATATGTAATACTTCTTATTGGCAGTAAGCTAACTTCTCAATGTGTAAGCATTCCGAAATCAAAGCGAGACAGTCTAGTACCGTTTTTGTCAATGTATTGTGTACTTGAGTGCCGTTTTTGTTTATGTGTTGTGTACATGTTTATTTATAAACGTATGTGTTCCTTTTCTTTCGTACGTGTTTATTGATATATCTGTACTGTAGTGTTTTCGGACGGTACTAGCTCTTACTGCCAATATAGGAGTATTACATATATGGTTTATTCAAAGAAAAATTATTCGAATAACGGATAAATTATTTTATTCGTTATTCGAATAATTATCTTCATTATATATAGATATGTACATATATTTATGTATCAAATGGTAGCCGTTTTCGTTGTTCCGAATTAACTCAAACCCCTGGATAGATTTAAGTCAAGTTTTCGGAGGTTATTGAGTGCGCATAAAGTCCTATTAAAGGCTACTAGAAAACTCGTTGGTGGTGATTGAGCCGAGTTATTTATAAAAGCCGTATTTATGAACCGATTTCGTCCAAATTCAAAATGTGTTCTACCTGAATGATGAAAAATACTTATGCGAAAAATGGACCCGCTAGGTGGCGCTGCAGTTGAGTTATTTAGAAAATCCGTATTTATTGTACAATCAGGTTGCAATTCATAATGGTGCTGCAGTCGAAATATTTAGAAACCCTATATTTCTGGACTACTTTGTTCCTATGTTTATATTATACGAATTTACGATGTCTCACGTCGTTATACACCCTAAATGCGACTTATTATCTACTTCCGATTGATCAAATTGCTCGGGCAGCCACTGCTGCTGCAGTAAGACTCAAGGAAACCAGCTCTTGGATATTTTAAAGGTGGCGAATTAGCAAGGAAAGTTTCGACCACATCTGCCTCGGGAGACACGAACAACAATAGCCCAACTTCGCTCTGGTTACTGCAGCAGGTTAAACTCATACCTGGATAGATTGAATGAGGATGTGCCAAATGAGTGTCCGGCATGCGGAGAGACCCCACATGACTCGAAACATCTCTTCGCATGCCCGGAAAACCCGACAACCCTAACGGCCTTGTCCCTGTGGACCGACCCGATAGAGGCTGCACGCTTCCTAGGGCTGCCGTTAGTGGAACTTGACGACAACGACTGAGATATCAACCGATCTGCGCGGGGTTGTTGTAGCCGCTACAACAACAACAACAACAACCACATCCTTCCAAGAAAGACCACGATTGGTTTATCAATGGCCAAACCGTGAGGGAAAACTTTTCGTCCTGTGAAACATCGAGGATTTTTGGCTCTCCTATAATGTGCTCTGTGCTCTTCAGCTTCCTTATAAGGACTTTTGTTGGCTTACATGACATAAGACTAGAGGTTGACGCTTCGGACCAGTGTTGTAGTTGCAAGATCATAGAAGAAGATTGCGCACGCTTAGAGAAGATCTCACAGGTGGAAGTAAGACCATCGGAAAAGCTCATGACATCGAAAGGGATTTTTTTTGTATACAGCATCAGAGCGCTACTATTTTTGGCAGAAATATGTGTGAGAAGGGTTCTGCTCTTTAGTTGTTTCAACCTAAATTAAGAATTTTTAGTTTACCCATATTTGCTTATCAACGCTATTCTTGCATTGGCCAACGCAAAAGATTTTACCAGGGGCCGCGAAACAAGCGGGAATGGGCTAGTATTCTTGATAAAATAGTAAACAGAATTCAACTAACTCACAATCCTTGGCAATAGAAATAAAAGTAAAACGTTGCTCAGTGTGTTATAAATCAATTTTAAAAATTATTTTAAATAACAAATAAAATCACGAATAATTTATTCATAAGCAATTTATTCACGAATAATTCATTCGTGAATAAATTATTTTCGAATAATTATATTACGGATAAAATTTTATTCGAATAATTATTTAAATAACAATTTATTCGAATAATGCCCAACTTTACATAATTAGGTATATGGACCTTTTTTGTAGAGAATCGAAGTTAGCTAAGAAAAAAATTTTTTTAGTACTTGAACTTTGATAGACTTGGGCGAGCCTAGGATATTGACCAAAAACTTTCACATTTCACACAGATATTTTTTAGCGCATAATGAACCATATTTTTGCTATTACCAATCAAAATTGTAAAAAAGCGGATTTTCGGCCCACGCTAGTATGCATGTATGTAATTTATGTATACATATGTGCATATATATTACCACCATAATTCATATATTTGTGCATATTCCTACATTCCTTCCAACGAAAAGCATTTGCTTGCATTACTTACATTTACATATGTATGTATGCTGTATGCAATTTTTAACCAAAACAAATGCGAAAAATGTCTCCTATTCAACGTCGTTGAAAGTTTTTCGCGATAAGTTTATCGCGATAAGCTGTTGTGAGTGATCGCGAATGGATTACTTGCATCGTTTTTCTAATGTATTAGAGGCCGACATCGGCAATGGTCGGACTTCTCATATGAGAGTGAGAGGAAATTTCTTTGCTCTTTTCGATCGAGAATGAAAAGCAACGGAAATTATTTGTCGCTGGCATCCCGAATATGAGAGATGATAAAATATTATGCATATTTCACTCGCGATAAAATAATGCAAAAGTAATTGTGGAATATTCACGATCGCGAACGTGAGAGAATGTGAGTGAGAATTTCCGAACCCTGGTCAGGGATATATTTTGTAGTTGTCCGATCTGGTCGGTTCCAAAAATGATTAATATGTTATTAAAATGCCTCCACGTTCCAAACTTTATTTTGTCGTTGTTTATAAGAAGCAACAAAATGATTTACAGCCGTATTCTTACAAAGTCACAAACTTTAGCTCATCACTGCTGTACCGCGCCTCAAAGCTTGCCGGTCAAAAAATATGCCGCTTCAATTAAATTTTTTAAATTTTTGTGTATTTTTCTAGCACTCAAAATCGAATTTTTTGTGACACATTTCTCGGCGCACTTGAAATCACAACAGTGATGAGCTAAGTTTTGTGACTCTGTTAGAATAGAGGGGTTAATGCTGGATTTCCACTAGGCAAATGGCAAAAATGACAAATGACAAAGTCGGCATTAAAAAAAATTGTGTCATTATATTAAAAAATAGTCATTAAGTTCATTTCCACATGGCATTTTTTTAAATTATTTTTTTAATGTAATGTCACGATTTTTTTTAATGCCCGACCATGATACAAATACTTAAAGGTAAAACCGCTCGCTGAATTCGTCTGCCATCATTTATTTTTTGAAGTTTGTCTACTTTATAAAATTGAAATTTTCAGAGCGACTCAAATGCCAAATAAAAGTAAACCAAAAAACAAATAGATGAAAATATTCAAATTTTCTTTTATTTGAGGCGGAAAGTGAGAATGTATTTGTGAGATTGAAAATTTGAAAATATTTGTGTTATGTTAGCAAACATTAAAAATGTTCAGACTGCCTGCTGGCATTTTAACTTTTATTTTTGATCGAAAATATTACGGTCACATTGTAACTTTTTTCTTTCACTGAAAAAACAAGTAAAATTTTAACTTTTATTTTTTGACGAAACTACTATATTTGACTGAAAAAATAAAAGTTAAATTTTAACTTTTATATATGACCGAAGAAATAAAAGTCAAATTTTAACTTCATTTTGACTGAAAACATATCGGTGAAAAAATAACTATTATTTATTAATTGTTGTGGAAAGAAGCATTACAGCTACAGTCCCTGCATTTCAGTAAAAACGGGAGATGCTAAGCTCTTGAACAATACTTACCCAATAGGAAAAGGAACATAGTCTCCACATTTGGTCATATGGTATAGCCCGTAATTGAACAGTTTTACATTATCGCGCTCATCAAGCAGTATATTTTTTGGTTCCAAGTTATGTATGACTAAATTATGCTGTGAAAGTTCTCTAAGCGCGGAAACAATCTGATAAAATATACGGGATACCAACGTATCGGTTAGGGAACCTCGAGATTTTTCCTTTAACGTCGTGCCAAAGTATTCCGAAACTACAATTGTGCGCTCTATTAGATAAAAAAAGATATACTATTTAATATACACCTGAGAACATAGAATCATAGTTGCAAATGGTACGTACCGTGCTTACCACGTACGAAATCTAAGTATTGGCACAAATGAGGATTTCTCAACTCCTTTAAACGTTGAGCTCGCCCTAATATTGCAATGGAGTTTGGTGTAAGTGGTAATCCGTTGGTGCCGCATACATCCCCGGGATGTGTTCTTGCAAAAAATGTAACTACCGCCAAGCGCGACTCTGGTTTGCTCAGAGTAGAGCACATCTTACGCCCCCTTATTAAAGCTCCGAACAAGGTAATCAAACCAAAATATTTCAAACTACATTGGTTTTATTGAATATGCGTTATTTTAAATATACGATTCTGACTTCAGATAAATCTTCCAGAAAAGAATTTCTAAAATTTTCTAGTTTCTTTGTAAATACTAAAAGCGAAAACTAGCATTTGTTTACACAGTCAGCTGATTGTAAGTCGCCTGCTACACGAACAGTATTTATTCATGAACGAAAGACACAAGATCACGTAAGCCAAAATTATTGTCAGCCACTTTAAGCGCACAATTTAGGTAAAATGATGCAATAAAATGCTTGAAAATGTGTTGTCATGTTGAATTAATTCTTCTTTACTTAAATAAAAGTGTAAAATAGTGGTGCTTGTGATGTAAACAAACGCTCAGCTGACGGGTTCGTCAACTTTTTCTCAAACTTTTTTCTCAAAACCAGTTAAGCTGAAATTAGTCAAGAACGTAAACCTACCGGTACGTAAACC